TCGATCCCCTGCCGACGCACACCCGATATCTATGGTCGGCCTGCGAAATTTGGGCTACCGATATCCATGCTGAAAATGCCATACTTGTACTGAAAATACGGTGTGGCGTCAAGCTGTAATCAAAAAATAAAAAAATAAAAGCCAACCGATTAAATCCCTACAAACCAATAACTGAATATCAATGAGATGGTCACTAGTGAATGATCCTATTCAGGTAGATAGTTATTTGAAATTCTGGCGAGAAGTCATGACCAGTAGGGTGCAGCATGTTGGGTGTGAGGACAAATACTCGTAGCGGTAGCGCTATGTCGTGAATTGGCGGAAGTTAGAATTCATGCACTGGCCATTGGATCGGGTCCCAGTGGCTTAATGATCTACGAACTAGCCCACCTTGTAACCAGAAGGTCCTGGGTTCGAATCCCGGTGGGTGCGTACTGCTGGAGAGTCCCAAACTAGGATGAAAACGCTGTCTAGTAGTCCCTGCAAGTTTTCCAATGGTTCTATAACCAATGTCAGCTCATGATGAAATCCTATAACTAAAACTAGTATTATTATCAGTCAATTAGTGTTAATACTGTTATTATTAGTATCATCATTATCGGTCATCCTCTGAATTCCGAGGGTTAGAAAGTTAAACCATTTCAGTATAAAATTGAAAAATGAAGATCACAGTGCCGATGATCTTAAGCTGTTCGTGCCTTTTTGTTCTTAGTCATCCATCTATTTCATTCTATGACGCTTATTTTATTTCAAGGCTTTAAAACACTAAGTCTCAACTTACAGATGACTTCCAAAGACAAAGATATATAAGACATAAGAAATTTGATAGTATGTGTATGAATGTATTATTATTATTGTTCCCTTGGGTTCCTAGTGGAACATAGGGCTTCAACTGCACGCCTCCACTTGTTTCTCTCTTCTGCTGTACTTTTCACCTGCATCCATGTTAGTCCATACTGTTTCAACTCCTCTTCACACGATCCCCTCCATGTCACCCTGGGACGTCCAACTTGTCGCTTCTCTTTCACCTTCCACTCGAGCGACGGCCTGACAAGCGATGTCACCCAACGGCCTCCTCAGCGAGTGTCCAATCCATCTCCACTTTCTCCTGCATAATTGTTGTTGGGCGATTGGTTCTTGTTTTGTTTGTTCCCATAGTTTCTTGTAGGTGATTCTGTCCAGCCATCTGATCTCCAGTAAAGAGCGAAGACAGTTGTTGATAAAGGTCTGCAACAGGCTGTTGGAAATATTCTTTGTGACCCGCCGCCAAGTTTCTGATCCGTATAGAAGAACTGACTGACTTGACGTTTGTATTGAAAATCCGAATTTTGTTGTTGATTTTGAGTGACAACGATTTCCAGATTGGTTTCAGGTTGATGAATGTGTTTCTCGCCTTCCCGATTCTCGATTTGACATCCTCGTCCGTTCCTCCTGTAGTTGAGACAATGCTCCCTAGATAAGCGAATGAAGTAACCTCTTTCAAATCCCTCCCGTTGATGGTGATTGGCGCTGGATGTTGCTGCTGTTGTTGTTGTTAGTTGGTTATTTTCATAACCTCCGTCTTGTCTATGTTCACCTGGAGTCCTGTCTTCACCGGCTGCTTCTTCGACCAGTTTGTCGGTTTTCGCTTGTAAGTCTTCGATTTTGTGTGACATCAAAGATAGATCATCCGCGAAATCCAGGTCTTCTGGGTTCTTCACGTTGGTTCAGGATATCCCTGTCTTCTCGTTTCCCATTGTCTGATGCATTATCCAGTCCACCACAATTAGGAATATGATTGGTGATAATAAGCACCGTTGTCTGACTCCTGTGTTTACTCCAAAAGCCTCACTGAGTTTTTCGTTGTGGATCACTTGATATGTGCCGTTGTCGTACAGCTGTTGAATAAGGTTGATGAATATTTGGGATACGCCGTAGTACTCGAGTGGTTTCCAAATTCCTTCGCGGTCAACGCTGTCGAAGCCTTTCTCAAAGTCTATGAAGGAAGTTGAGGTAGAGGTTTGATTGTCATTCCATGCTTTGTTCGATGATGATGCGTAGAGTTGCAATTCGGTCAGAACATGATTTGCCTTTCCTGAATCCAGCTTGTTCTGGTCGGAATTCCGCAACCAGTGCGTCCTTTATTCTCTCCTGGTGTATGTATGGGATTCTTAAGTGGTTCAACTTAATTCCACTTCTGTTTACCAATTATTCATCAGGAAGTGGTAGACAGGTGTTTCTCCTTAGTCTGCGTCTCACAGGTGGGTGGTTACAGGATAAATTCGCCTGCAGTTCTATAGAGAAGTCGTGAGCGGTCAAATCCATCAAATCGGATGTCAGGATACATCCTCACTGGTGAGATTGCCTGGCGGTCTAGTTAAAAGTAGTGAACCAACACAACCAGTTATGTTGGCTGTTGCTTTAGGAACTTAAGGTTTCTTGCTCAAGAACACCCAACCGTGTGGTTCAGTAAACGTGTTGGGAAAACCATCAATATTTCTGTATTAGATCAACTTGTCCACAAAGCGAACTGCTGAGGAGTGTTTCTCTGTTTACGATTAGAGGTATTGAATAAATTACCAAAGGCCATTGCAACTTGCTACAGTCAACCAGAGCTCTGAGTCACTCAGGAAACAGGTCCAACTAGCCAACAGTGCTAGTGTCACCTGCTCTCCAACCTATAAATTCACAATTTCTATGTTCCTTCCTTTAATTCATCTAATATTCAAGTATTGGTTTGTAGGGATTTGATTGATTGGTTGGAGGATTTAATCATGAGCTGACATAGATGAGAGAACCATTGAAAACTAGCACTAGAGTACTGCATAGCTGTTTCGTCCTAGTTTAGGACTCTTCACGGTACACACCCACTACCAGGATTCGAATCTAGGATTTTCTGGGTACAAGGAAAGTGAGCTTGTGGACCATTAATCCACTGTGAGCCATGCTATGAATTCCAACTTCTGCCAATTCACGCTGTAGCGCGACCGCTAGTCATCGTCTTCAACCATTGGATCGGGTCCCAATGGCTTAATGGTGTACGAGCTTGCTTACCTTGCAACCAGAAAGTTCTGCGTTTGAACTTTACTCTGGTGTGGATGGGTACTGCTGAAGCAGAGTCCTAAACTAGGCTGATGAAACAGCTGGCTGTCCAGTACTCCCTATGGATGGTTTTCCAATAGTTCTTTAACCAATGCCAGCTCATGATGAAATCCTGTAACTTATCTGATATTCATTCAATTTAATATTATATTAATGCATATGATGTGTCTCTCTCTCGCCCGCTGATACATTGGAGATGTAATCAGTAAATACTACTTATTCAGTGTAATTTAAAACAATACTGATGTTGATGATGCAGCCGAAATTCTCAGAAACCGACTTTCTAAATGTCTGAAGAAGACATTTCCAACAGCCACTCTACGTATCACATTCTCCTGCTGACAGTTAATCCAGTCTAACGCTAAGGACAAGATACCGTTTTTGGCCACTTCAGTGTGTATTTATCAATTTACTTGCTCGTGTGGAGCAAAGTATATCGGCCGTACGCAACGTCAAGTCCACAAACGTATTCTGGAACACTGTCCAGCTTGGTTAGCTAGCTAGAGAAGAAAAGAAGAATAGCAACAGCTCGATCCTCGAACACCTTGTCATCTCTGGACATCGAGCACTCCCCCCATGAATGCTTCACAGTGTAACACAGAGTCCCTCAATATCGTACAAAGGGACTTTGGATACGCCATCTGTACATAGCTGAAGCATTAGCTATTCGAGATCTGAAACCGGACCTCTGCATCCAAAAGTGATACATACATTCTCTTGCCCTACCATGGCCAGAGTAAAGTTCTTACCACAATTTCGCTTCTTTCCTTTATTATGTAAGTTCACTATTATTATTATTTTATTTTATTAATACTTTTATTATCATTATTATTCCCATTATCCACATTTTATTAACACTCTGTTACTGTTTATTAATAACATGGCTTTTTCATACAGATTTTATATAAAAACACTCTATCATCTTTCCACTAGTTCCTGCCCATCCTACACGAGCTTATTAGTCATTAGTCATTATCTCACACTTATTACGTCATGCCAACTTCTGTCTCCTTTCTAACTTACAATTAGTCATCCCTTCTTACACCTTACATTATGTAATACAATTTTTCAAGGACAAAATTTACCAGTATCTGATTGGTCTAAAGATTTCCTTGTTAATTACAATTACGATTGTACAGCTCATGAAAATGAATCGTTGAAAAGAAAATTTTCTTCGCTGTTTGTGCCTTTTTCATATTGATGTTTAATTGAATTTTAGATTTTCCCGTCGATTGATTGGACCGAAGTGCTCGGTCTCATGTTAAACATGTCGGCTTCTTGTGCAAATGCTTTGACGATGTCTCGGCATGTGATTAGGATTTTTTGAGTCTTGGATGGTGACTAGCAGTGGAATCCAGGACAACGTGCATTTCGTCCTATTTGGGACTCGGTGGGAACATCACCACTCACTGTGGAAATCAGGTACATCCAGGTGATGATGAGTCCCAAATAGGTCGAAACGCGCATTGTCCAGGATTCCAATGCTAGTCACCTTCCATCCATTAAATACTAATGTTGGTGATAAAAATATTTCTCTGATTATTATGATAATATAATAATTGTTTAACATGATGACGAATTTATCGAAATTATGAGTATTCTTTCTTCATTAATCAGTCTTTGAAATTCTCAGTGGCTATCCTCAACGACTGGGTAAGCTGATTCCTGCCCAAGTCCCTGAATGATCAATTAGCTTGATACCGTAAACTGAAGGACGTAGTTTCAATCCTGTACTAATAGGAGTGTGACACTGTAGTGCTGAAGAGTCCCAAATAAGGACGAAACACCAGTCCAGTACCCCCTGGTTCTCAATATTTTTCTAAATCACATCAATCTATGGTCAAACTTCAAGTAAACTGAGTTCCTACAAACTAACTCTTGGAAAAAATTAAACGACTTGTTACTTTTTTTTAAAAAAGCCGCCATTTTTATTTCAAATTATTTAATTAAGGATAAATTTTGTGTTAAAGAAGAATCAAATGATCAATCAAGAGAAGCGTTTATTGATCTTTGGTTACCAAGTTGATGAAAGAGAGAGAGAGAAAGAAATTATAAATTTGTGAAGAAAAACTGTAGGAAATCCATCGCAGCTCATTCAAATTACCCGCCAATTGAATCAATGTATCAATTTAAACAAAATTATCACTTGACTTATTACGATCATAATCTTTTTGCTCCATGTTCGTCTTTTCATCCTTTTGTAATAAATCTTGTTTACTTTCTCTTTCCAGTTGAGCTTTTTGATAATTAACAAACATATGCCACCATTGATTTAAAATCTCCGCAGTGATTACATCACCAGCATTACTGCGGATCATACGTAATATAAAGAAACCATCACTTTTAACAAATTCTTTGATAAAATTTTCAATACGTGGATCATCTACACCGACATTACATCCATTACAAGTTAAACTATGATTTTGATAGTTATCTAATAATTGTGAATGTATTGACACAATCAGATAATTACGAATATAGGCCGTCTGACGATTTTGTAGTGTTAAACGTATCAGCCAGAGAATTAGACTGCCAGTAGTTAGAATACTGACAATAGCAATCCATAACCAGAGGAATATGTAGATTTTTTCATTGAACATATTTACAGGCAGTGCACAGATTGCAGTAAACACATTATTCTTTGAACCAAGATGACGTACATGCACTGGACAATAAGTTTGACGTGGAAAAAATTCACTTTCAGTCCATTCGTGTTTCGAGGTCAGTGTACGAATCAGTCGTTGACCAAAGGTGAATAAGTTGCCATGATGCCCTAAGAATGTACAGATTATATTCAACTGTCCAATAAGATTAATTAAATATAAGGCCTTTACAAAGATATACGCTAGTGAAATACAATTTCCCATACGTTTTCCAGCAATCAGCAGTGAACCAGCAGGTAGACGTGACATTTTCCGTTGAAGTTGTGACCATCTACCCGATCGATAATCGAAATGTTGACGGCCGAGTCGGAATAGGTGGTAAGCTGCTGATTCAACAAGTTTTTGACGTTTTGCGTTCTCTTCAGCTGAATTGGCTTTATGCGCCATGCTTAGGATCGCTTCGATATTTTCACCCATTACATGTGTGGCTAGCGATTGCCAGATGACATGAGGCAGGAAGAATAACATCGCTTGGATAGATAAACAAAATGGTACCCATTGATAGAAAGCTGTAACCAAAAAAGAAAAAACAAAGTGGACAAAAATAAGCGAAAGAAATGGAATTATATCACGCGAAGTTGAAAATTGAGGATAAAGTTAAAAATTGATTGAGACATGAACACGGGAGTTGGTGATTCTACGGTTAGAGTGCTCATTAGACATGCAACAAGTCTGAGTTTGATTCCATATCGACTAACTGCCAAAAAAATTGTTATAATTATTGTTCCGATGGGGGAGTAGTCCACTTTAGCATGCCGCACAATTGTCCACAGGCTGTTATCTTTTTCCCACACGATCTTCTTCATTCTTCTCCAGAACTAATGCCCAACTTTTCGTTTCCACTCGAGAAAAGGCCTGGGGTGGAGTGTATGTCGAAGGTCTCTTGAGCATGTGTCTGACTTCTCTCCGTTTTCCTCAGCTACTTTGTTGAGCAATGGATTCTCGCCTGTTGCTTCCTTCCCAACGTTTCTCGTTGCTAATTCTTTCTGGCCGGCCAGCCATTTGATGAAAATGTGCAGTAGACTACTGGAGATGCTCCTTGTGATGCGTGAACTAATTTTCTGATCCATGTGGAAGTACTGATTGTCTGACTGACTGACTTGACGTTGGATTTAGAAATCTAAATGATTTACTTTATACTGACTGTAGCAGATTTCCCCTTGCTGATTTCAGAATCTTCAAGGTCTGTCCTGCCTTTCCAATCCAGGACATCTTCATCTGTGCTGCCCAACTGCCTGTAGTTGAAACCGTGCTTCTTGACCAGATAAGTGAAGCCAGGAAGTAACCTCTGTCAAATTTCTCCCGCTGATGGTGATTGTTGCTGATAGCTGTTGCTGTTGGCCGGTTATCTTTATCGCCTCCGTCTTCTCTACGTTCAGTTGGATGAGTCGTGTCGTCGCCTCCAGGCAGCCTATTCAGTCAGTTTTTGTTGGATTTCTCTTGTGTGCAAATCAGTGAGCTGGTGTGACATTAAACATAAATCATCCGTGCGCGAAATCCCACCACGTTCCACTCCAGTGATGGCCTGCATTGCGCTCAGTGTCATTCGACGGTCGGTTGATCGTGTGTCTGATCCATTTGCATTTTCTTCAGCATATTCTCTGAGCAATAGATTCTCTCTTGTTGGTTCGCTCCCAACGTTTCTCCACGCAAATTCTTTCCGGCGATTTGATCTTCAATATGAAGCTAATGAAGGCAGCTGTTGATGAAAATCTACAGTAGACTACTGAATATGCTTCTCGCGATCCTTGAGCCAAGTTTCTCATCAACATGGAAGTATTGATTAACTTGAGACTTGTGTTGAGAATCCAAATCTTGTTCTTTATATGCTGAGTAAGAGTAGGAGATATCCAAACTGGTTTCAGGTTGATCAAGGCACATTTCCTCGTTAAGATTCTGGCTGGCTTTGACATGTCAATTCGTTCCGACTGCCTATGGTTGAAACCGTGCTTCTTAGGTAAGTGAAGGAACTGACATCTTTCATATTTATTCTGTTGGTGGTAAGTGGTGCCTCTTGTGGTTATGGTTAGCTGATTGTTTTTATCACCCCTATCCTCTCTATGTTCTGTCGGTCTGTCTGTCTGTTTTCGACATAGAACTTTGCACATATGTGCGGCAGTTCAAGTTGCCACACTCCATGTAGCACAAAAAGCAAGAGAAGAAAGTAGGAGAAATGCATATTAGAGACAGTAAACAGAGGTGTGAGATAAAGAAATAGTAATAACGAAGAACAAAATAGTGTCATTGGAAATCATAAGTCACAAGGAGTGGATGCATCTGCGCCAGCCATTGAGAAGGATTTTGAGCCATGTCACCAATTGTTTCCAACCATTGGTTTTTACCGTCCCGAGGACCCCAACCAGTCAGGAAGTCTACATCTTCCTACGTGGCTTAGACTAACTGTTGTAGATTTCATTGACTGATGAAGCCATGTTTTGGTTTGACCGCCGCTAGCTCTTTTCCAGCCTGGCCCTATGTCAGCTAATATTGCCCATTGTCGAGGAAGGCGATGACTAGGCATACGTAACACATGTCCTAACCATCTCAGTCGATGTAACTTCAAAGACTCGTCGATTGATTTCCCCTCTTACTCACCTAGCACTCGACGCCTAACCTCAATGTTGCTCACCTTATTATACCACTTCATGCGTGAGATAGAACGCAGACACCTATGATCGAAGACAGCTAATCTTTTCATGTCTTCCGCTGTCAATGGCCAGGTCTCACAGCCAGCCATAAAGGAGGACGGAGCGAACTGTTGAGCAATACACACGCCCTTTGGTCGATAGTCGGACATCACGTCTACTCCAGAGACGGCGTTAACTGGCATGTGCGAAACTAGCCCTCTGTGTTCACTTGACATTTGCGTCTTTGTTGCTTCTTCTTTAAACTGACAAGAAGCCTGGAAAAGAAGCGAAGCCTGACTGTGAGTCTAATGACCCTACGGTGTAAAGAAAACATCTCAGTTACTGAGAGTTCGGAACTTGTGACCTTATTTTCCAGTTGTCACTTGACAAGGTGGGATCAAAGTAACGTTAGAAAATTTGCCTGCGGACAGATAGAAGAACTGTGATTTATTAGTTGTTTAACTTATTTATATCCAATAACGAAGTGTACAGGCAAATAGATCGGGTAACAATGGGTTTTCCTCTAAGACCCCTCTTGGACAACTGTCTTACGGCTAGCCTGGGAAACAATATCTTATTATCAACAATCAAGGAGCTTCATCACTGTAACAGGTACATCAGCGATACTTTTGTTATTCACTAATTTCGATCTCGAAAACTCCTCTTCAAACCTTCAATACTACCCACTTTTGATGTTCCATTTCCTCAGTCTTCAACTACCTGAAGTCTGTCTAGCAAAAGCCTACATCAAAACGCACAGTGTAATAATAATAATTTGCTTTATTCCAAAACAGTACTTGTAATACAGAATGGAATTCTCAAAATCTTTACTACAGTATTGCATCCAATTAGTACATTATCAATAAATAGAATTCTACACAGATTAAGGAAATCTCAGTTCATTATGACAAGAACATATTGGCATGTTGGTAGCAAAGCCAAAGTTGAACAGTGTTTGAAGATGTTAGAGAAGTAGGTGCTATCATATTTACTGGCGTAAACGAGAGAAAGAAACAAAGCAGCACATAACAGAGAAAAGGCGAGAGAGAGAGAAAAGGAAAAGAAAGAAAGAAATTGCTGTACCTATAAATGATATGAGTTGGAAAGACGAGATCCAGTTGTTCTACTGACTATTTAATGAATTATAGGTGTCACGCCTAATGCTTTCTTTATCGCACAGAACACGAGCTAAGTAGGGTATGGTTGAGTTTTTGTACTTGCTGGTGTGAACATATAGTTTCCTATATAGGCTTCTGGTTTTGCCTGATGAGATGCAAGGGGAGAGTTGTGAGTGAAGAGGGTGGTGTGAGTTAGATAAAATGGATTTGGCCCATTTTTCACATGAGTCCATGTGCCTGTCGACCAGAATATTAACAAGTTGGTTAAGTGGCACTTTGCTTACCCTGCTGACAACCTTTAACATCCTGCGTAACAATTTATAGCCCGGGAAAAACTAAGGGGGAAGAATAGAGAATAATAGGCAGAATGCGAGAATTAACGAATCGTAGGAGTAAGGGTTGGGTTATACCGGAATGTTTTAACTTCTTGATGTAGAAAGTAAGACGGAATATTTTCTTAGAAAATTCTGTCCCGTGAAGCAGAAAGCGGAATCTCATCTGTTCTCTTTCCTCAAAGATCCAAAATATGTGCACTTAAGAATGTGTTGAGGAAAAACTACAAAAAGCTTCAAAGAATCTTTATAGAAAATGATTTTTCACACAGAATCATATACAAGAATCGAAAAACAACCCAAGAAAATCAGCTTTACAGGTCCAGATCTTTTCTGAGAAGATTTTGTTGCTCAGTCCCAAATTTATAAGCAATAGTGAAACAGAGATTCTCCGAAAACAACTTTCAAAATCTTTCAGTGAAACATGTCCCAAGAAACTATTCAACCAGCATGTGAAATACAGTGTGTTGTACATATGGACACATCATCATGTATATACCAGTTCATATGCTCGCGTGCAGCTAAGTACATCGACCATACTATCCAGCCAGGCTAGCAAAGGAAGAACGAAGGCGAATTTAGAAAACCGGCTGAACTAAGGACATTTATCTGCATTTGAATAGTTCGTCAAAGTCCTCTGAAAGGGAGGGAGATTAAGACATGTGGGCATAGCTGAAACCAAAACACAACGTATGCAAAAGAAGTATGCCCAACGTTTGGTTTTAATGTGCGTCGGTGGCACAGTGGTTAGGACTCTCGCCTACCATGCACATGGTCCGGGTTTCAATCCCCTGCCGACGCACACCCGATATCTATGGTCGGCCTGCAAAATTTGGGCTACTGATATCCATGCTGAAAATTCCATACCTGTACCAAAAAATACGGTGTGGAATAAAGCTATAATGGAAAAATAAGTAAAAATAGAAAAAAACACTCAATTTGCGCAATAATTATTATCCGGTTGTGTTACTTTCTTGAAATGTCTATCCATTTTTTGTTATTATTACGTTTTAATACTAATTTGTAATCTCGCCACTGGCTGCAGGTCGACCCTCGATCAGAAATAGTTCTGGAATTTATATTAGTTCGTTTATTAGATGTATCACCCAGTGTAACAGTATTGTTTACTGGATGACGAGGTTAGGAACAAAATTTATTGTTCATAATCATATCAATTATGATCACACGACTTTGACACTTGAGTTTTATAGTTTTCTTTGTTCTCTCCTATTTTTCGTCGCAGGGATAGTAGAACTTTTGAGATGTCTGGGACAGGTGATATATCATTCTTATTACACGTGTTTGCAGTTGATTCGATAAACAAAGCTTTTGTTATCAATCTCTCCCTATACCCTGTGACATTAGATTTTAAAACTGTCATTCTATCCCATCCTATTGTATGGCTAGTTGTGTGTAACTGCATGTAGTGTAGTGCTATAGCTGAATTATTCTCTAGATTTCTTATCTTATTCGAGTCAACTACTCTCAATTTTGCTAGGATTTTATGTTTGGCTAGTCTGACTGCCCCTGTTCTACTGGTTTGCCAATCATACCAGCAGCGTATTAGGTAAACTAAATTGTTTTGTTTTAAAGGCTCTACAGGATCTTTTAACCGACTAAGCTTGTTTCTAATTGAGTTTGTAGGTATGAATGCCATTTTTATTCCTGCCTTGTTAAGAATTCTGCGTAAGGCTTCCGCGGTTCCTTCCTTGTATGGAATTACTACTGATGATTTAGATTCCTTATTGTTATTGTTCCTTATTGTGGAATTTACCTTATCCCTTTACTATCTACTCACATATGTACAGACTGGTTGATGTCTTCGTCAAAAAGATAAATTTTCTTCGCTTCAGTCGTCTTTTTATTCTGTATTTTCCGTGGACGGAAGTGCCTAGTCATTGTTCACATGTATGGAAGAGTTTTGACAATAGGACGTGATCTTCTTTGATGTTCACTAGACTAAGTGTTACATTCATCTTGTTAGTATTAATTTTGAAAAAGAGAAGACGTTCAGCGAAGAGACTCTTTTCAACGGCGAAATCATTCACATAGCTGTACAATCGCATTTATATATAATTATTTGTGTGTGTACTTAAGGTTTGTCAAGTTTAGGTAATTGATCAGGTAATGCAGGAATGATTTGTCGGGTAATAAGATAGATTATGTCCATTGCAAGTGTAGTGATTGAACGAACTTCTTCTGTATGCAGAGTTCAGGACTTAGCGAGTGATTTGCCATTGCTTCTGCAGATTGAAGAAGTCTGATTCGTACACTTTCAGGAAGACTACTTCTTACTCTGTAGACGACTTTGAATTTTGTTTACGGGGTAGCTTGGTGTCCGGATTCTATCAGATGTTCTAAGGTGGAACTGCGGGGGCGTCGATTTTCTCCTTTGTAAAACCATGTTGGTAAGTGTTCGGTGATACGTTTGGAAAGTGAGCGCTGGGTACGGCCGACATACCTGGCTCCACACAAGCAGGTGAATTGATAAATACACATTGATGAGGCCAGCAGCGGTAGCTTATCCTTCACGTTCACATGAATTATAGGTTTTGTGGAGAAGGTTAATCGTAGTTCAGCTGCGAAGAAAGTCTTCTTAAGTGAACCTTACAGTCGATTTTTTAGTGTTTCCGCAGATATGTCTCCATCGAACTGAAGGACGCTAAGCATGGGCGGCTTTTGTGGTCTAGGATCCATAGATTTGGCAATAAATCTTTCTGGGTAACAATTCCCCACTAGGATTCTCTTGAGATTGTCCAGTTCATCTTCTATGGTGTCCGGGGTGCAAATTCTGCAAACTCTGTAGCTGAGTCAACGGATCAGGTTTCGTTTGTTGTATAGGGGTACCAAACTGTGAAAGTTAGTAAGCTGTCCGTTCCACGTCGACTTTCTGTGGATAGACCTTTTCAGTGTTCTATCCTGTTCTCGTCTTGTTGATTGGACGTCAAGAAAGGATATTTTGGAATTAAATTATTATGTGGACATTAAATTTACCTAAACGAACGAATAAATGGTACAATACTGAGCAACATCGCGCACCAAGTCATCGTTTGAGTGAACTCAAATGGAAAATGATGAGTCAAGCGTCCAAAAGTGACACAGAGGAGGTAATGCGAGGAGGACATGGGAGAACATGAACAGCCGTGGGGCCAGCTAAATTGAACTGCATAAAATAGGACAAATTTGAGACATGCTGTTGAAGACCTATTTTCCATTCGGAACCCAAGAGAACAATAATAATAATAAATATTTCACTGTTGTAGTTTGGTTTGTAAGGGTTAGTTACATTTTTACGAGTTGATCACGGATTGATATAAGGAAGAGAACCATTGAAAGCCAACCAGGGAGTACTGGACAGTTGTTTTATCCCCCCAGTTTGTGAATCTTCGGCAGAACGCACCCATTGAGATTCAAACTTAGGACCTGCTGGTTACAAGGAAAGCTATCTCGTGTACCATTCAGCCACTGGGATCCGATTCAGCGCCCATCCCATGAATTCTGACTCCTACCAATTCGTGAGCCATTGAATTGGGTCCCAGTGGCTGAATGGTACACGAGGTAGCTTGCCTTGTAACCGGAAGGTCCTGGATTCGAACCCCGGGTGGTGTGTGCATACTGCCGATGATCCCCAAAATAGGATGAAACAGCTCACTGTCCAGTACTCCCTGGTTTTCAATAGTTCACTTTTAGCTAGTAAAACATTTCATTATTTGGTTGATAGTAAACAGCGGTAGAATTTCTGTTCCCCATCCCTTTCAGATCCTTGCGGAACACAGAGCTTCAAGCTTTGAACTTTGATGTCTCGGTACACACCCAAACTTTTCTTTCTTTTTTGAAGCTTCTTATTGACTAGTAAACTGGGCGAGGTTCAGGAGTACGATGGGTTGAGTCAGGACCTGGTTCACTGTCGTGTTTGGCAAGTATTCTGTCACTGGATCAATAACATGGCAGAACTTGGAATGCTTATTCCGTCCTATTGGGGACTCACCAGCTGGATATACTAGTGAGTAATGACTCTTCCCGTTGGGATTCAAACCCTGAAACCTTCATTTCAAATGCTAAAACATTTTATCGTAAAAATAATCAATCAGTGATAGAGAGACTGTACAAGACGTGGCTTCAGTTACCCACTAGTCTCGTGCAACGATGAAGGTTAGATTTAACTGCCAGTGGACGTTTCACACAGTGAAACAGTATTATTGTTCACTGGTTGACGAGGTTACAAACAAAATTTATTGTTCATAATCATTTCATCAATTATAATCACATGACTTTGAAACTTGAGTTTTATAGTTTTCTTTGTTCTCTCCTATTTGTCGCAGTTGAGGTAGTAGAGGTTTCCAGATGTCTGAATGGACAGGGGTTGGATCATTCTTATTACACGTGTTTTCAGTTGATTCGAAAAAACAAAGCTTCTGTTATCAATCTCTCCCTCTATCTTGTTACATTAGACTTTACAACTGTCTTCTTATCCCATTCTGTTGTATGGCTAGTTGTGTGTAGCTGCATATAGTGAGTGGTACAGCTGAAATGTTCTCCAGATTTCCTACCTCATTCGTGTCAACTAATCTAGATTTTGCTGCCAGGGTTTTGTGCTCCACTAGTCTGACTGACTGCCCTGTTCCACTACTCTGACCTATGTATTTGACCTGACAATCATTCCAGCAGCGTATTAGATAAACTAAATTGTTTTGTTTTGAAGGCTCCACAGGATTGATCCGTTAACCGACAAAGCTTGTTTCCAATTGAGTTTTTAGGTCATTTGAATGCCAGTCACTTTTATTCCTGCTTGTATTGTTAAGAATCCTGCTCAAGGCTTCCGAGGTTCCTTCCTTGTATGGAATTACTACTGATGATTTAGATTCTTTATTGTTGGTGTTGTTATTATCTTGCGCATGATTGACATGCATGTCGTCATTACTATTAATACTATTATTATTATTATCACTATCACTAATATCATCATTAATTTTATTTTTACATTTCCCTACATACTTTCTGACTAATTTATCAGGGTAATTATTAAGTTTCAAAGCTTCTCTTATATGCCCCACTTCCTGTCTTAGATTTCCCTGGTACTACTTAGTTTTTGTACTCTCTTATTTAAACACTCCCCCAATCCTACTTTCACTGACATAGAATGGGATGATCGGAAAACCAAATATCTGTTTGAATGTGTGGATTTCCTGTAAACACCAATGGCTGGTGGCTTGCTAATATATATAGCGAGTTCACATAAGTTAGAATTCATGGGCCACTGAGGGGTCAATGCATTCGCCCTGTAATCTGGACGTCCTTAATCCGATCCTCCATGGGGGTGAAGAGTCGCAGACAATAAGGAAAAGACAGCCAAGTAATCCCTTGTCTTCAGTAGCTCTGTGACCAAGGCCATTTCGTAATTTAATCGCAAAACAGTCATATCTCTGCAAAACCAACACCTGAAAATCAATGAATGCTTTCACTTACATATATCAGCTTTCTGACGTAATCTTTCCCAATCTTCATAACTTGTCGGTGTTTCATCCTTCTCACGTACAGCTACAGTACCTCGTACCCAGCAGACAGATTCAGCGAATTCATTGAATTTATTATCTGGTGCTGTAGGCAGTGTACAGGTTATCGGTCTAAGGAAATAAACATTTGCCATTGTTACACCAGATAACATTAGAATTATAGCACAACTGAAAAAATGATTTAGCCGATCAGTAAAATCCTCCAAATGTTGAAATGCTCCATTTCTTGCACCGGTTATTCTATCCAGAAAGCCTAAACCAAGCTCTAGACCCATTGGAAGTTTTCAGACAAAAAAATGTCTCTGCTGAAAAATACCAGAAAAATAATGAGTGAATGAATGAATTGATAAAAATAAAATTAAAATAATTTGGACAATTATAATTTAATTTTACAAGAATAACACGTGATTAAAGAAGAAGTCAAAATAAAAATAAAAATAATTTGGAAAATTATAATTTAATAGGGGGAGGGGGGCGACGTAGTCCTGTCTTGTAACGATGGCCACGGTAAGCAAAGTGAGACGATTAAAAAAAAATCAGTTAAATCAGTTAAGTTAATGAGCAAAACAAATATGAAATTTCAGCACAGTTTAGTCTGACAACTAAGATTATTCAAATCACAATGTGTTATTGTCTTTTGTACCCTATATGGCATTTGAGAAGGGAAGCATATTTGCATATAAGACTGTATACTACTAACTAACGGAAATAAGTAGCTAATTAAATACCACTTAAATCAACCAGTAGTGCTTGTTATTATTATTTGTTATTTATTATAATTATTATTATTATTATTTCCTTTAGTTCCTAGAGGAACACACGACTTTAGACGCGTCTCCATTGCGTCTGGTTCTCTACTAACGCTTTTCACCTGGCTCCACGTCCGCCCACATGCTCTCATCTCCTATTGGCATCATCTCCTCCATGTCACCCTCGCGATGACGACCAACTCGCCGCCTCCCATTTGGCTTGGCTCCACTCGAACAATGGTCTGGCGTGTGATGTCACTCACTTGATATTTTTTTTCTAGGAGTATGGCCAATCCACCTCCATGTCTTCCTGCATATTTGTTGTACAGTCGGTTCCTGGTGGATTGGTTCGCTCTTGGAGATCCTTGTTGCTGGTCTTTGGTGTCCGGTCATCTGATCTTGAGTGGTATTGAGCGAAGACAGCTGGCTGTTGATGAAGATGTGTAGTTTGTTTGAATTGCCATTCGTGACGTGGCGTCAAGTCTCTGATCCGAACAGCGAGTAGCACTCACTTCACATTGGAGTTGATAATCCGGATGTTATTTTCATTTTCATGATGGGTGATCGGTGTTGATCTCCACACAGACTTCAGAGAAATGAAAGCTTGTCTTGCTTTCCGGATCCTCTTTTTGATATTCTCTTCAGTTCTGTCCGCCTGTAGTTGAAATGATACTTCCCAGGTAGGTATGTAGGTAAGTAGGTGAAGGAGGTTGCTCCTTTCAGATTTCTCCCATTTATGCTGGTTGATTGCCGACTGTTGTTGTTGCTGTTTCTGTTGACCAGGAATCTTTACCATCTCCGTCTCCACCTTCTCAATGTTCAATTGAAGGAAGTTCTATCTTTGATGCTTCTTCTATCGCCAACTTGTTGCTTTTCATCTCCTGCATATCTTCGAGTTTGTGGTAAATCAGACAAATATTATCGGTGAGGTCCAGATCCGCCAAGGTTTTTGTGTTGGTTTATTTTATGCCTGTATCCTCGCCGCCAACTATCTAGTCTACCGCTTTCAATCAGGATAATCATTGGAGACAGTAAGCAGCCCACCTTGTCTTACTTCCATCTTCACTTCGAAGGATTCCATGAGTTTCCTGTTGTGGATTACTTAGTATACAGCATTATCGTACAACTGTTTGATGATGTGTATAATTGTTGGCGGCAACCCGTAGTAGCCAAGTATTTAGCAAATCACTTCTCAATCGATACTGCGCTATCGAAGGCCTTTTCAAAGTCAATGAAGTGCTTGTTAGCCAACCAGATTATCGAAGTGATGTTAACACCACTGGATGCCTGTTTCGCTTGTTTAAGGTTGTGCTCATCTTCATTGAACATGGTTTGACCTAGCTCAAACGCTCCAATCAGTCCAAAAAACCTGAATTCTGTCAAGATACTTTGGCGAACTGGTACAAATCGAATTCACCATTTCGTAGTTTTGTAACAACAGAAGACAAGGGCCAGACAATAGAACGTTTATTACGGAAAATCAACACATATTTATAGATTTTGATGTACATTATTGTAGGTTAATCTTAGTAGAAAATACAGTCTATTGATTGGTTGTTTCTCACACAAAGTTAATCTTGCATCTCTTGTGGCTGTGTCAGTCCTTCTATATGTTAACTGTATCCGCGTGTCCATCTTGAGCTTCTTTTCACATGACTAACATTGACCTCAATAACTGTCAACCAATTTGGCTAGTAACCATCTCTCACCACAGTTTAATAAAAAATGTGGTGGTGTTATACAGACAATGTGTGTGTTTGTCAGCGGAATCTTATTCTCACATATTCCCATAGTTCAATAGTGCATTAGCAACAGAATACGATATATATTCAAAATATAAATAAAATTAATCACAGGAATTTGTCCACATTTACAGTAGGGATAAAGTCAAAAATGTGCAAAGCATAAAGTGAGAACAATTACTATTTATTAATGATGGTAATAACAACAGTGAGTTTGTTTCAAACAATATTCTCAGTACAGCATGAAAAATTTAGGCAATTTATAGAGTATTCAACTGCTGCACGACAATGCTGCATGCCAAGTAATCCTTAACGGGAAACTTACGGAATCCTTCGAAGTGAGGACAGGAGTAAGACAAGGCTGCCTACTATCGCCAATGATTTTCCTGATTGCAGTAGATTGAATAATGCGACAAACAGCGTCAGGCAATGAGGAAACAGGCATAAAATGGACTCACACAAAAAACTTGGAGGATCTGGACTTCCCCGATGTGATATATGTCTGATTTCCCACAAACTGGAAGATATGCAAGCGAAAAGCAACAAGTCGACAGAAGAAGCATCAAAGATAGGACTTCAGGTGAACATAGAGAAAACAGAGGTGATGAAAATTCCTGGGCAACACCACCAACAGCAACAACAACAACAGACAACAATCAGCATAAATGGAAGGAACCTGAAAGAAACAACCTCCTTCACCTACCTACCTGGGAAGCATCTTTTCAAATACAGGCGGAACTGACGAGGATATCAAAGCAAGAATCAGAAAAGCAAGACAAGCTTTCACTACTCTCAAGTCTGTGTGGAGGTCAACAGCACTCAGGTGGTTGTCCAAGGGTGACTTGGAGGAGGTCATGTGAAGAGGAGATGAAAGCATGTGGGCAGACTTGGAGCCAGGTGAAGACTCTAGCATAGAACCGAACGCACTGGAGACGCACGGCTGAAGCTCTATGTTCCTCTAGGAATTAAAGGATACAATAATAATAATAATAATAGAGTATTCAAGCTAATGTTAGCCTGAGATGGGATGGTGATGGTAAAAACAAAAAATATCAATTATTACAGAGCTTAAATGATGTTAACACTTATGACAAAATAAGCTCACGCAAAACTGTGAGCGCAATAAATATAAGAAGAATAATAACAATAAAACTTGATGGAATAAGGATGGAGAAAATTTTTCTTATTTACTAGTGCAAAGAAGGTTAGTTAGTTATTTCTTGTCTGACATTATTTTCATCACATAAAATACGTACCAAATATGCTATCGTGGAATTCTTATACTTAGACATGCACGCAAAAAGTCTTTTGAAATGACTTCTTGTTCTGTCTGAGGAGACACAGGATGAAAGGTGCAAGTAAAATGGATACTCACAGTGTGACAAAATGTCTTTAGCAAATTTGTTGCACGAAATCAAGTGCCAATCAATGACAATGTCAACGATATGGCCCAATGGGATACCACTACTCGCCTTACTGACAGTCTTTAGAGTCCTACGAAGTATGACATAGTCTTTTATAAGCAATCGAGGAAAAATAAGGGTGAACAGTAAAGAAGAATAGGTAAGATGCAGGAGTTGACAAACTGTAAGAGGAAGGGTTGTTTGATTTATGCCTGAGTGCCTTAACTTCTTAATGTAAAACGTTAGACGAAATATTCTTCTAGAAATCGCTAAGATGTGTGGGAAGACCAGGGTAGTTCAGAAGAAAGAATTAATCCAAGATATTTAACATCAGACTTGATTTCTAAATCAATATCATCAATTTTAAAACGATCATATGAAATTAACAGCTTCATTTAACTTTCTTTCACATTGGAAACTAAATTTAACAGTCTGACATTTGGAAGGATTTAGTTTAAGACTATTAAAGGAGGACCATTTGCCGACACCTGATAGAAAGCTGTTCATCTTAGTATACAGTCTAACTTAGAGTTAACCTGCCTTGAAACAGTTTGATCGTCCTCATACTTAACAAAGTTCATTTCATCACAGTGAATCAAGTCGTGCAAGAAGAAAGAAAACAAAAAAGAAGAAAGAACAGCACCTTAAGGGACACAAGCCTCCGTAAGCAATGAAGTCGACGACTTCCCCTGTAATACAGTGTACTGCTTTCTTCCTGAGAAATAAGCATGCAGCTAGTTGACAACCCAACACTCAGTGTGAGTTACAGCAAACTTATTAAACAAAATTTCTCCAGTTATTCAGTCGAAAGCAGATGTGTAGCCTAGGAAGTTGCAACGAACAAATTTTACACAGTTCAAAGTGACAGTTCAAATGACGTACACACAATATGTGATGTAATTGATATAATAAATGATAATCAAGAAAACATGCATAATTGCATGCATGCCGTTATATATTACTGATTGATAAATATCAGTAGTAGATAATAGTAGATAATTAGTAGTTCATTGTTAGAATGCTTAGCAGGCATACATCTTAGTGTTCATAGTAACTTAGAGTCCTTCTACTAGCTTTTTAATGACTTCATTTTCAAACGGTCTTACCTTATACCCCTCCAAATGCCAAACAGTCAATTTCACCTTTAGGCATAAATCCGACCTAAACAAACTGGTTAGCACTCACGAGGTGTGCAACATAGATGGCACTGAAATAGAAACCAAGTCGGAAATTAAATACCTAGGCGTCATTCTATCTGCTGATCTTTCCTGGTCGTCTCATATCTTGGTGATTTCTAAGAAAATATTCCGTCTTACCTTCTACATCAAGAAGTTAAGACATTCTGGTATAACCCAACCCTTACTGCTACAATTCGTTAACT